CAACTTCTACCAGACTAGAGCCTATGATTTGTGCTTGTTGTATTTATTTATTTTGGTCTACAACTTCCAGAAAGTCTTCGCAATCATGGTTTTATGATGGTTGTGTAATTCTGGAAGCTGTCTTTCAAGCAATGTCTTTTGCACATCGTACATCAGACCTCACGGTGCCCAGGAATGTTAGATGTAGATATTGTCTTCCAAGCTTTTTCTGGAAGAATCAATGAGAGCTAACTTGGATCTTGCTCGTGTCTTATCCTGTGTCCACCACAGACTCCCTTCTGCTGAATGGTGTCCAAACATCTTTTTTTCCCCCCAGAAGCAAGCATTCCCAATCTCTCATTATTCAAGATGAAGTGCATTTTTGATTGAGTTGGGTCCTGCAACAAGAAACGAAGTCTTCCCTCTGGAGCCCGTGCTGCGTCTCCTCCCTTGTGCCATCCATGGGAATACTGCCCCATCCTCCTCCTATGTCCACTCAGAATTATTTTAAGTAATGATATTTCCCCTGAGATTGGGATTGAGAAGTTAACATGTCTTGCAATTGAGCAGTCTTGACCACCACCCTCAGAAATGCTTCTTATTTTATAATACATTATTTGAACATGAAACAGTTCTGTATGTGAAGAAAACATTTCATTTGTAACCTCAGCAGCATGTCTGTAATACAAGTGCAGATGTGTATACTTTCCTTTTTTGTCTCCTTGCTGTTGTCTTTGAGGAGTTCTGTGTAAGTCAAGAGCATGCAGATGCCTGTATCTTTACCTGTATTTGTATTTCAACTCTGGGTCCAGCAATGATAATCATGATCTGAAGTTCTAAACCAGATTTATGTGCGTATTTCTTTGTCTGGAACAATTGTGCATTTGCAGAGAAGCCCAAAGTTCTTGCTAATGGTGCAGCTGAACTCTTCCTATCTCCAGTGTCTTTTTTTTTTACTCACATTTGGGTCTGGCAGCATCTGCTAAAGTCTCTTTAGTGCAGTGGTTCCTAACCTTTTATTTGGCCAGGAACCACCCTCCAACTTTAATACCAAAAAGGTTAAGAATCAGTTTGTGGTCACCTTTAGATTGGGTTTGGTTATTTGTAATGCTGATTCAGAAAAGTGCATTGGATAGACCACATCAGGTCTAGTTTCTGATACAGAACATATGCCACCCAGTAGTCACCATCTGCTTGGTCACAGAAACCATATTTAATAGCCTAGAGCTGATGTGGTTGATCCAATACAATTTTCTGAATCAGCACCCCAAATAACCCCAGGAACAGGCCTAAAAATGAAGACACCAAGAATTTTTTTTGGTTGAGCTGTGTTATTATCTATAGTAATGGTGAGGCCGCGGACCATATTTTATTTCTTGCAGATCACTGGTGGTACATGGACCACAGGTTGGGTGTGATTAAAGAAACTGCACTTTGATGTTTCTCAATACACATACACGTGCTTTTAACAGCTCTGTTGTTAGTCCTTACAAGCTCAGCCTCGGATGCAGGCCTGCCTAACTTTGGGTCTCCAATTCCCAGAAGCTCCTATTGCTTATCCAGTGATCAGGGATTCTGGAAGCTGATGTCCAAAACACCTAGAGGGCCAAAGATTGGACAGGCCTGCTCTAATAGCAAATCAATAGCTTGTAACACTTGTCCTGCTTGTATTCCCTGTTTTCGCAAATGCAAGCTAACATCTTAAAATTAGTCCCGCCTGCCTTGTTTCCCTTTAAGCCAAAAATTCAGAACAAATGTATTCAACATGAGCTTGGTGGGCAGTGAATAGAACAGCCCTTAGACTAGTGGTTCCCATCCTTTTTTTTTTTTTACCAGGGACCACTCTCCAACCTTAGTACCAAAAGGGTTAAGAATCAGTTTGTGGTCAACTTTAGATTGGGTTTGGTTATTTGTCATGCTGATTCAGAAAAGTGCATTGGATAGACCACATCAGGTCTAGTTTCTGATACATAAAATATTCCACCCAGTAGTCTTTTGTGCATAGTTAGCCTCTCCCTTCCTGACACCTCCGATGCCTCGGCACTATAAGAGGGTTCCGTGAGATCGGTCACTCTTGCTGCATGGTTTCGAGGCAATGATGTAGTAATGGTGAGGCTGCGGACCATATTTTGTTCTTACGGACCACAGGTTGGGAACCACTGCCTTAGACAAAGACAATAGAAGACCACCAAGTATTTCGAAAGGTGCTTGTTTATATAAAGCAACGTATTCTTTTCAGTTTATAGGCCAGGTTTCCTGGCAATGGGATGGTCCACATATGGCACCCACCCTCAAACACTTAGTTTTTTGAAAGTTTTCTAATCTCCCATTACACTGTGTAACACGGTTTTTGTTTCTGGGTTATAAATGTCATTTCCGAATTGGTTCTATCAAAAAAATGGACAAATTTTATTAAACTGCAAAAACTGTTACAGCCTGCACACTGAAAGAGTAAAAAAGGCGGGAGGGACATTCAGACCGCATCTTGGCCTATGAGCCCACGAGGACCTTGAGATCGTCT